CTACTCAGGAGGCTGAGGATGATGGTTTGAAGCTAGTTGGGGCAGGAAAGCCTGTGAGACTTTTTATCTCCAATTAACCACCAGAAAACTGGAAGTAGAGCTGTGACTCAAAGTGGTAGAGTACTAGCCTTGAAAGGGAAAGATACATAACATTGTGTCAAATTTTAAACACTGGTCAGATGTCAGGAGCAAAATTTCAGACAATTTGTGGTTGTTGCTACTATTTTTTAATACCATAATATTAGAATACCAAAAGGCACTTAGTTACATAAATTAAAATGTATAGATAACCCTGGCATCAGAGGTTTATGCCTGTTATTGTAACTACTCTGGAGGCTAAGATCTGAGGATTCTGGTTTGAAGCCAGCCTCAGCAGGAGACTCTTATCTCCACATGATTTATCTCTGTGAGACTCTTATCTCCAATGAACCACCAAAAAGCCTGAAGTAGAGCTGTGGTTTAAGTAGTAGAGTGCTACCCTTGAGCACAAAAACTCAAGGACATTACCTAAGCCTTGAGTTCAAGCCTCAGAACCAACAACAACAAAAGTCTTATATGTGTGCAGATTGGACCCTCTCAGATGTCTTGTCTGTCATCCCATAACCTGAGACTCTGTGTCAGTTAAGGCTGCAGATTCAAGAAACTTCCTATTTAGTTGAACTTGGGGTGAGGAGATTATCTAGGCAGGCAGTCTAAGTACATGAGTTCTTAAAAGTGGTGGAAGCAGAGGCAGAAGAGTCAGAAATGCCATTCCAAGAATCCAGCTGGCAGTTGGTAGCTTTGAAGACAGAAGGTCCCGGGAGCCAAGAAATGGGGTTGGCCTACAGCATCTGGACTGGCTTCAAACTGCCATCCTCATATCTCAGCCTCCTGAGTAGCTAGGTGGCTTAATTTTGTACTTGCTGATAATTTTAGACTTGCAGAAAGCTGCAAACCTACTAGAGTTTACTATGTTTTTGCTAATGTGAGCTTACATTGCTGTAGTAACTATTTAAAACAGTGCAATTGATACTGTTAACCATAGATAGACCCTGTTCTCTCTTTCCCCCACTGCCCCCTTTTACATGTTAATAAGTCACGTTTTAAGCCTGGCACCAGTGGCTCACACCTGTCTTCTCAGGTGGTTCAATCTGGGAGGAAAAGTCTGTGAGGCTTTTATCCCCAATTAATAAAAAATAAACACCAAAAGCTGGAAGTGGAGCCTTGCTCAAGTGGTAGAGCACTAGCCTTGAGCATAAGAGCTCAGGGACAGTCCCAGGCCCTGAGTTCTAACCCCAGGACCAGCACAAAATAAATAAAAGGTCACATTCTATTTGTAATGGTAAAAGTGTTACAAATGCTTTATGAAAAATTAGTGTTAAGCCGGGCACTGGTGGCTCACCCCTATAATCCTAGCTTCTCAGGAAGCTGAGATCTGAGATCAGGTTCAAAGCCAGCCCGGGCAGAAAAGTCCATGAGACTCTGTTAATGTGCTAATAATTTCCATTAGCGTGAAGAGTTTAAGTGGATACAATTCTGATTGTAAAAAACATTGGGAACGGGCTGGGAAGGTGGCTCAGTGGTAGAGCGCTTGCCTTGCATGCCCGAGGCCCTGGGTTTGATTCCCCAGCACCACATAAGCAAAAAAAGAAAAAAGCTGGAAGTGGCTCTGTGGCTCAAGTGGTAGAGCGCTAGCCTTGAGCTGAAGAGCTGAGGGACAGCGCCCAGGGCCAGAGTTCAGGCCCCACGATCGGACCCAAAAAAAAAAATAAAAATAAAAAATGAAATAAATAAAATAAAAAAACATTGGGAACCTACTTTTCTGCAGCGGCTCTGATAGCACTGACTTGTCTCCTGTGTGTGTTTATGGTGTTAGGGTAGGATTCTGTTTCCATTTCTGGAGTGTTGGGGTACAGCCTCTGTTTTAGGTGACAGTCTCTCTGTCACCCAGTTTTTCTTAGTCTTCTTGCTTCCCACTAAGCTCATAGCTGGCTGAGGGTAGGGCAGCTAAGGGTCAGTGGGGTTTTCCTCTTTTATCCATTTCTAAAATGCTCCAAGTGGTCTGGAACAAATAATTTCCTGTCACACTTGCTTTTCACTGCTTAGGATTTTAGTTTTCTTTCGGAGCCTAGTGAGGCACACACGCCACTGGGCTGTCTCCTCAGCTGCTCGCCAGCCTCACTCAGTGTTGGATTTAACAGCAGATTCCCGGGGATCTGAGAAGCTGGTGCTTGATGAAGCTGAGTGTCCCCAAGACGCTGCTGTTTTGTTAGTGTTAACACTCTACTACTAAAAACACTCACAGACCTAACTCATTTCTACTTACAAACATGTTGTCTCTAGAATCAAGAGTAAGGACTCTGGCTGGTCTCCCCTTGGGCACTAGCCGATGACTAGAAAGCTGCCTGCTGGAACAGCTGGTGCCTCGTTTCTGGAAGATGCTCTTACTTCCTGGTTTGTGTTGTTTTCTGGGAGCGCCTATCACCCTGACCTGTGTTTGTACATACGCCTTTTTCCTGATGGGATGGGATTCCAGGCTGGATGTGAGCTCTTGGAGGTTCTTTTCCTTGACTCAGGTAATGTCTAGTGCTCACACCCAGCCTGGAACCACTTCTCATCAGCCACGGTGAAGAAACCTACCACCACACAGAATACTGGAGAGAATGGTCAGTGCAGGACCTCAGTAACGGGAAAAGCATACAGGCTACTGTGATGCCAGCTGACACACCTGGAACTCAAGAACAAGATCAAATGATTCCCAGGGAACAACAGAACCCAGAATAGACTTGTAAAAAGGTGGCTCAGTGGCTTAGCGGTAAAGCAGTTGCCTGCTATGTGAGGCCTAGTTTTGTGAGATGAAACCGATGAGATGGAATGGAGCACCAAAAACTCCACGCGCTACTTCAAGTGATCACCCGTTATGTGAGTAAGAAAGAGCCTGGAGGAGGCGGGAATACATTTTCGGCAACCCTTCAACTCAAGACCATCAACAACCCCCTCACACAAGAGTCGGGAAGAAAAATGCACCAAGGCATAGCACATCAAATTTCTACAGGAGATGTTCACAGCGGCCGGAGGAAGAAGGCCGTGTGCAGGCTGCGGCTTTCGCACCCCCAGGCGCAGCTGCTCACAGGAGCCGCAGAAGGGCCAACGTGCGCTAGTCGCGGCGGGAAGCGGGAGCGCTGTGACTTCAGCAGTCTGGCCAGGCCTTGTTGACCTCGGTGGTGTGTCCAGCTGCCCGGGGGAGGCAGCGGTGCGTGCTGTCAGCCTCCGCGAGGCCGGGAACGCCGGGGCGGCCTACGGCTGGCGCCTGTGGTCGGCCTCACGCATAGCTTCTGAAGAGAGACCAGGTCCGGCGCTGCCCTGCTGCAGGGACTTCCCGGTTCCCAGCGAGCAGGGGCGCCGCTCCGCCCGACGCCGGCAGGGGGCGGCCGCTGCGGGGCGTGCGGTGCCCGCAGTTCCCAGCAGGCCGGCCGCCGGTGGGGCCTGGGGACCTGCGCCGCCCCGGCCTCCGCCGCCGCCCCCCAGCCTGGCGACCCCCAGCCTGGCGCCCCCCCGCGGGGCAGAGCAGGGGACCCCCCCAGCCTGGCGCCCCCCAGCCTGGCGCCCCCCCGCGGGACACAGCAGGGGACCCCCCCAGCCTGGCGCCCCCCCCGCGGGGCAGAGCAGGGGACCCCACCCAGCCTGGCGCCCCCCCCGCGGGACACAGCGGGGGACCCCCCCAGCCTGGCGCCCCCCCGCGGGGCAGAGCAGGGGACCCCACCCAGCCTGGCGCCCCCCAGCCTGGCACCCCCAGCGGAGCAGAGCAGGGGACCCCCCCAGCCTGGCGCCCCCCCGCCGGGCAGAGCAGGGGACCCCCCCCCCCCAGCCTGGCTGGGCGGACTGAGGTGCCTTTGTCTGGCTACTGAAAATGAGCTGAGCCTCAGAACCGGCGGGGGGGGGGGGGGGGGGAGCGGCAGAGGCGGGGTAGGGGCTGCGGGAGGGAGGGGGGCGGTAGGGGCTGGGGGGGGAGAACGGGTGCAGCAGGGGCTGCGGGGGGGGGGGGGGGTGGAGGACAGGTGCGGCAGGGGCTGCGGGAGGGGGAGCCGCAGAGGCGGGGCAGGGGCTGCGGGAGGGGGAGCCGCAGAGGCAGGGGCTGCGGGAGGGGGAGCCGCAGAGGCGGGGCAGGGCTGCGGGAGGGGGAGCCGCAGAGGCTGGGGGTGCGGTAGGGGGAGCCGCAGAGGCTGGGGGTGCGGGAGGGGGAGCCGCAGAGGCTGGGGGTGCGGGAGGGGGAGCCGCAGAGGCTGGGGGTGCGGGAGGGGGAGCCGCAGAGGCTGGGGGTGCGGGAGGGGGAGCCGCAGAGGCTGGGGGTGCGGGAGGGGGAGCCGCAGAGGCGGGGCAGGGGCTGCGGGAGGGGGACCCGCAGAGGCTGGGGGTGCGGGAGGGGGAGCCGCAGAGGCTGGGGGTGCGGGAGGGGGAGCCGCAGAGGCTGGGGGTGCGGGAGGGGGAGCCGCAGAGGCTGGGGGTGCGGGAGGGGGAGCCGCAGAGGCGGGGCAGGGGCTGCGGGAGGGGGAGCCGCAGAGGCGGGGCTGGGGGTGCGGGAGGGGGAGCCGCAGAGGCTGGGCAGGGCTGCGGGAGGGGGAGCCGCAGAGGCTGGGCAGGGCTGCGGGAGGGGGAGCCGCAGAGGCTGGGGGTGCGGGAGGGGGTGCCGCAGAGGCTGGGGCTGCGGGAGGGGGAGCCGCAGAGGCTGGGGGTGCGGGAGGGGGAGCCGCAGAGGCGGGGCAGGGGCTGCGGTAGGGGGAGCCGCAGAGGCTGGGGGTGCGGGAGGGGGTGCCGCAGAGGCTGGGGCTGCGGGAGGGGGAGCCGCAGAGGCTGGGGCTGCGGGAGGGGGAGCCGCAGAGGCTGGGGCTGCGGGAGGGGGTGCCGCAGAGGCGGGGCAGGGCTGCGGGAGGGGGGAGGCGGGGTCTCCGCAGAGGCGGGGCAGGTGCGCGCTCGCCCGCACGCACGCACCGCGCGCGCCCGCTCGCCGCAGTGCGGCACGCCGCCCCCGCCCTGCGCTCCCCTCCTCCGTCCTCCCCTCCTGCTCCGGGCGCGGGCGGACGCCGGACTCGGCAGCGGCACCATGGCCGGGGGCCTGCGCGGGCTCCTGCACCGCAGCCTCTGGCTGCTCCTGGGTGAGTGGGCGCGGGCCGGGCGGCGGCGGGAGCCGAGGCGCGCGCGGGGAGGGCCGGCCAGGTGCGGGGTCCCCGGCCGGGCGCGGAGGACGGGGCGGGGGGCCGAGGGCGTTTCCGCGGGTAGGTGACCCGCGGCGGCGGAGCGGGCGGGGACCCGCGGGCGGCCGGAGCCCGCCAGGCGTCGCCCCTTTCGCTTCCCTTGCCCCTCCTGACGGCCCGCGGGCCCGCGGCTGCGCCCCCCGAGCGCCCCAGCCCTCCCCGCCGGGCCCGGCCGCGCTGGCGCCGCACCGGCAGAGCCTGCCCGCCGCGCACAGCCCCCGCAGGTGTCGGCCTGCCCGCCGCGGGAGGGCCTTCCTAAGCGCTGCGTGTTTCCCAGCGCCGAGGGCAAGCAAGTACATGAACATCACCTTCCTAAGCGTACACTAGCCGCCTGGGCGCGCTGCCCCGCCGCGCTCCCGCACACAAAGGATTCCCGGCCGCTAGAAGCCCCAAGTGCTCCCTCTGAACAGTCTCGGTGGTCAGGCTCCTGTGATGTCTGGGAAGAGCAAACACAACCTGATGAGCTCGTCGGCGAAGGAATGAGTGAATGAATGTATGGCCTCAGAGCACAGCTGGGAAGAGCGTCCCGGAGCGCGCTCTTCGCTTTCTTCTTCCCAGCCGGAGCCCTGGCCGCGTCTCCGGGGTGATTTGTGACGTTTGCTATCCAGAATGGCACTGCCGAAGGGTTTTGTCTTTATAGCAGGATTAGGGTCTCAGCGCCTCTCACTTGCTAGGCAGATGCGCTGTTCCTTGAACCATTCTGCCGATCCTTTTACATTCATTGTTTGTGTGTGCATGTGTGCACACACAAACCCCAGTATTGGGTTTGAACTCAGGGACTGGGCCCTGTCCTTGAGTTTTATTGCACAAGGCTAGTACTCTACCACTTGAGCCACAGCTCCACATCCAGGGTTTTTTTTTACTGGTTAATGAGAAGAGGCTTACAGACACTCCTGCTGGGCTGGCTTCAGATCTCAATCTACTGAGTAACTAGGATAAGTCATAAGCCACCAGCACCCAGCACTACTGGTTATTTGTAAGTCTTGCTCTTTTTTTCTTTAATGCCTGCCTGTGTGGGCCTAGACTACCCTCCTCCTATTTGTGTTTTCCCATATAGCTGGCAGGCTGCACAGATGTGTGCAATCACACCCAGCCATTGGATTTCTCTCATAAATAGGATGACAGGCATGTTCCATCGATTGGTGGAGATGGGGGTTTCATGAAATTCACTCAACTAGCTTGGAACCATGACTCCCAGATCTCTGCACACTTGGCTACCATACCCTGCTAAGGGTTTGTCTTCAAAGTACAATATGCTAGTCACAGGTTGAAGAAGGTAATCTGATCATCTTACAATCAAACAATTTTACTTATTCACTTATTTACCTGCTGGCTTTCCATTGGCAGTTATTAAAACCTCACTATTCACTACTGAGTTCCCTGTATTCTGTTTACAAAACTCTCATAAATAGCCAGGCAAGTAAAGTGTCACATGGCCAGGTGATGTCGGCTCACACCTGTAATCCTAGCAACTCAGGAGGCTGAGATCTGAGGATCGAGGTTCAAAGCCAGCCCAGGCAGCAAAGTCCGTGAGACTCTTATCTCCAATATACCACTAGACAACTGGAAGTGGTTCTGTGGCTCAAGTGGTAGAGCACTCACCTTGACCTGAAGAAGAGCTGAGGGACAGCACCCAGGCCTAGAGTTCAAGCCCACAACCGACAAAATAAATAAGTAAATAAATAAATAAATGAATGTATGTCACGGAAAGCCAAGCACCAGTGTCTCATGCTTGTAACCCTAACTACTCAAGAGGCTAGCTCTGAGGATCCAAGTTCAAAGCTATCCCAGGAAGGGATATCCATGAGACTCTTAGCTCCAATTAACCAGCAAAAAGTCAGAAGTAAAGCTATGGCTCAAATGGTAGAGCTTGAGTGAAAAAGCTAAGGGATAGCACTTAGGTGTTAAGTTCCAGTACCAACACACACACACACACACACACACACACACAATGTCATATAGAGCCAATATAAATTTTTTCATTAGTGGGAAATGAAAGAAGTTTCCAGATAAGCCAGGGTTGCTGATGGTGGTGATGCCAGGGTCACTGGGGTGCTACAGTGGTTCCCCCTCCTTGGGCATGAGGAAACACACCTTCCTTGCCTGCCTTGCTGAGGGCTCAGACGTTTTCATTTTGTGAGTGACTGAATTATTTAGTGAAATAGATAGCATTGCATAACTCCGAGTAGGGTTGGAAATGCAGTATACGTCAGGATGCTGTTTTCAGTCGGCGTGATTGTAATCCTGGAGTCCTGATCCAAAGGACTTGCGTGCTCATTTACGACTGCTGTGCTCAGCTGCAGGGAGAAAGTCTCCATGTTTCTCTTCTTTGCTGGCGCTTGGCAGCCAGCATGCGTATCTGCCAGCTCGGGCCGGGCAGGGAGAAGCATTTCCTCCCGCACTGGGGCCATGGCGTGCCGAGACATGGGGAAGCATTTTAGTTGGAATCCTCAGCTGAGGCAAATAGCGTGTTGGAAACATCTCCTCTGATTCTTCTTCCCCAGAATGAACCAATTTCATAGCTTCTGATCAGTGAACACTGGCGTTTGCCAGACTGACGTCGGTGCCACATGCACACAGTGTGGGTTCATTCCAGTGAAGAGTGCGGGGAGAGGCTTTGTGAGGGTCCAGTGCCCCTCACACCATCCTCCTTCCCGGGGTGCCCCTTCACCCAGGTAGATCTGAGTGCCAGGCTGCCAAATGCAGCTTTCTGTCCATGACACAGACGGACCGAAGGACAGTGCCTCTCATCCCACAAGTCCATCAGGTCTGAGTGGGACGCTTTCTGTGAACAGCCAGGCTCGGCATGCAAGTGAGGGTGTACTTAGGGGTGGGGGAGCCCTGCTGGGCAGGACCCGGAGCAACCCCTGGAAGAGGAGGTGATGCACTGAGAAGATAGGCAGAGGGGAAGGGCCAGGCAGCCAGGGCCCGGATGCTGGAGGCAAGTGTTCTCAGCTCTCCATCCCACAGGGCTGGGGGGGGGGGGGGGTGCCCATTGTGTGCTGTTTCACAGCCTTTACACACACACACACACACACACACACACACACACACACACACACACACACACACACACACACACACACACACACACACACACACACACACACACACACACACACACACACACACACACACACACACACACACACACACACACACACACACCCTCCTGGCGGGATGGTTGTCACAGCCTTCCCCACTCCAGGACAAGATGACCTTGGCCACAAGGAAGGTCGTGTGGACACCGCCGCACGCAGCTCCAGCCCTGAAGAGAGCCTTCCTCACTGAACACAGTGAACTGGGGATTGCTTCAAGGTCCTCTGCAGCTTTGGGATGTCACTTTAACCCTCCTCATGGCTTTGTTGAGACCGGCTGGTGAGAGCAGAGGAGAGCTTCAGGCAGCCAGGGTGCAGCCGCTGCCACACCCCAGCAAGGCCTTCCTCCCTCCCACGTGTCTGTACAACCCCCCCTCTCCCCCCGCCCTGGCCCCAGGGTCAGCCACTGTGACTTTGTCAGATTAGGAGGCAGAGAGGCTGGGAGGCCTGAAGGTGCCTCACTTTTAGGCCTGGGGTGAAGCTGGCCTCCCCCCATACTGGGGGAGAGGGGGTGGAGGGGGCACTGAGCCACGTTCTGTGTGTGTGCATGCCCTGACCAAATAATCCTTTGCCAGCAAGACCTGCCATGCTGGGCCCAGCGAAGCAGCTGCCATAGTCAAGCTGTGTGGCAGCAGAGGTGCCTGGGGCGGGGGGGGGGGGGGGGGAGGGCTGGCATCACCTCCGGTGGATGGCAGAGCAGGGGGCGCTGGGAAGCCACCAGACTGTTCACTCTCCTGGAACTTGGGTTGCACAGCAAGGGGCCATGGGGTGGGGACAGGACAGCAAGAAGCCACGCGGCTGCAAATAGTTTTAGTCTGGGCAGAGTGGCACACGCTAGAAATCCTAGTATTTAGTGAGCCGAGGCGGAAGGATTGTATGTACACACACCCACACACACGCACGCGCACACACATCTGTTCTAAAACTGCATCTGTACTGAGCAAGTGCATGCTATTATAGGTCAGTATTCCCTAAGCAATATAGTGTATTAGTATTTACATTAGTAGTAAGCTCACCTAGAGGAGATTTAAAGTATTTGGGAGATGTGTGGGTGGGTTTTGCGAAAAGAACCATTTTATGTAGTGGTGTATCTGGATTTTGCTGGCACTAGAATCCTTGGCCAGTCTCTGTGGACACCAGGGGATGGCTGTGTGGTCCAGTGCCATTTCTAGAAGGAAGTAAGAGAGGCTACGCACAGAGCCAGGCTGTGGTGGAACCAGAGGCCTCCAGAACACAAGATGGATGTGCAAAGACTCAAGTTCTAGGAACATTCTGGAAGCCTTTTTTTTTTTTTGATCCGGTCGTGGAGCCTGAACTCTGGGCCTGGGTGCTGTCCCTCAACTCTTCAGGTCAAGGCTAGCGCTCTACCACTTGAGCCACAGCGCCACTTCCGGCTTTTTTCTTTTTTGCTTATATGGTGCTGAGGAATCAAAACCAGGGCCTCATGCATACAAGGCAAGTGCTCTACCTCTGAGCCACCTTCCCAGCCCCATTCTGGAAGCCTTTTTAACTGAGGCATGTAAAGAGTTTTGTCTACCAAGCTGCTATGTTTTGGGACATACTCTCTCTCTGTCTCTCTGTCTCTCTCTCTCCCCTTTCCCCACCTTCCCTCCCTCCCTCCCTCCCTCCCTCTTTCTCTCTTCCTTTCTACCATATGAGCCATGCCTCCTTCTATAACTTTTTTTTTTTATAGTCAGTCCTAGGACTTGAACGGAGGGCTTGAGAGCTGTCCTTGAGCTTTTGTGTTCAAAACTAGTGCTCTTCTACTCGAGCCACAGCTCCACTTCTGGCTTTTTTGGTAGT